ACAATCAAGAATTCTACCCAAATAACTGTGATTTTAAGAATAGAGCCAGAGTGGTGTTTGATGAGGAGCACGGGAGACACTGTTTGTTGTCGTTTAAATGAAATTGATGTTCCTGGCTTCAGGACCCAGATCGCTCACTGCGCTCCTGGTGTTTCAAGCTTGGATGAATATCTGATACATAAAACAGTTATATCTGTTTGCAGACGCCTAGTTTGCTAATGTCACTGCTGCTTTACTCTGCGTTTCTGTAAGCTCATGTCCACATGGGGAAGAGGGGTGGTGACTTCAGACAGAGGCAGGAATGAAGGGATGTTGTTTTGAGTGCTTATTATGCTGTAGGCACATGTCTAGGCTCTTTTCCATACAAGCCAATGAAGTAGATATTTGAAGTCAAGTATGTCTGAATACAAAGCCCGTATTTTTTTCCATAACACCAACGACCAAGCTCAGTGAGAAATACGTTTTATATTATGAGCCAATAGCACGTACATGTATTTATGTATACATTACTGAGACAAAAGTTTCTGGAAGCAATAATTACGTGCCCTGGTGGCACCGTGGTTAAGAGCTCAGCTGCTGACCAAAAGGTCGGCAGTGTGAATCCACCAGCTGCTCGTTGGAAACCCTATGGGGCAGTTCTATCCTGTCCTGTAGGGTCTCTGTGAGTCAGAATCACTAGATAGCAACAGGTTTTTTTTTTTTTTCATATATGTAATTAACTCTAATTTTACCTATCCTATTCCCTGGGTGGTGCAGTTAATGTACTCAGCTGCTAACTGAATGGTGGGAGGTTTGAGTCCATGCAGAGGTGCCTTTGAAGAAAGGCCTGGCAATCTACTTCCAAGAAATCAGCTATTGAAATCCCAGTGGAGCACAGTTCTACCCTAACATAATGCGGTTACTATAAATCAGAATCAGTTCTATGGCAACTCCTTTTTAATAGTATTCTATTATAGTTCAATTCTTTACAATTTTGGTAGCAACCCCACTAAGTTGGTCTCATCAACTATTATTGTAAAGGGACACACAATCTGATAAATGCCGCACTGCACTACACCATGCTGTCCTTCAAAAAGTTAAATTGGGTTCTGTTGTAATTTGTATCAGTATGGTGATCAAACATGTCCTCGCAATTATTAACAGAAAGTTCCATCAATGTGAACCAAGTTTTTCACCTGAGATATGAGAGTTAATAATATTTACTCCCCAAAACTCTAATGTGATTGAATCTGTTGGTGTTGTTCACTTGCTTCCCGAAGTGTCTGGTATTTAGAATAAGACAACTAAAACAGAACGTTTCTTAGCAATAAAAGCTATTTTAAATGATTACTATTGTTGCTATTGTTAACAATCGTTTTGCACTTACTATGCGTCAAGCATTGGTCTAAGAGCTTTAAATATAACTCATTTAATTCTCAAAACCGTTTATGAAGTAGGTAAATGTTAGTACTCCCATTTTACAGCCAGATCCCTTTATCTTCTTTATCACAATTTCCCTTTGTAAAGAGGTGCTACCTACCTGAAAAAGTAAATGAGGTTGTGACTATGACCTGCATTGTCATGGTATGTTGAAATGAAAAGCCCTGCATCATCTGATTGGGTGGATGAATGACTGGGTTTGCTTGTTAATCATAAATCATAAAAATGTTCCTATTTTATGTAGAAAACTTTCAGAACGTACAATAAGAAGTTAGGGTGTATTGGCTTCATGTAACACAAATTCCCAGCCATGAGGGTCTCTATTATCTAAAAGGTAAGGTCAGTTCCAGGACTGGTTGATTTAGCAGATCAAGTCATTAAGGACCCAGATTCTTCCTGTCTTTCCAGTCTCCACCTCTCACCAGCTTTGTCCTTAAATGGCTGCACAGGATCCAGGTGTCACATCCAGACACCGCAGTGGTAGAAGAAAGTTCTCTTTTGCAGGAGTGAGTTAAATGTTCCTTGAATCCCAATCAGCAGATTCCCTCTGGCTAAAAATGAGTTACATGTTCATTCCAAAGCAGACACTTGCACAGGGAATGGAATCACTGTGATTGGCTTAGCAAAGTTCTGTCCCCCAAAACTAGGAACGAAGTTGCCTACTCTAAAGCACGAGGCTCTAAAGACAAAGCAGGAGGGCGGGGGTGCTGTTTTTGTGTGGAAAAAACGTACTGAATAAGCAGTGTCTGATACAAAGAGAAAAAATGTCTTTAAGGAAAGATTTTGGTGTTTAAATTGGTTGTTTTCACAAAAATTAGCAAATTTAACAGTAAGGAAACACATCTACAAGAATTCACTTTGCATTTGCCATTGGCTCTGTAATAAACAGGAGCTAGTGTTTTCATTACCAGAAACAGGAAAATGAGGTAGGCTAATAAAACAACCATCTGAAAAGTATCAATGTCCATACAAATAAATGAATGCCATCCTTTTAATACACTGAAGGCAGGTTAGCATTTGCCAATAACTATAAGTAAAATAGGAACCCTGGTGGTGCAGTGTTTAAGTGCGCAGCTGCTAACCTAAAGGTCGGTGGTTCGAACCCACCAGCCACTCCTCGGGAGAAAGATGTAACAGCTTGCTTCTGTAAAAATTACAGCCTTGGAAACCCTATGGGGCTTTTCTACTCTGTCCTATAGGATTGCTGTGAGTTGCAATCGACTCGACGGTAATGGGTTTGGTTTTGGTTTTTATAAGTAAAATATCACAGAAATTACTACTTCCTACTTCTGGGTGGATTGGTTCTAATTCATTAAGATGATTTCCTAAGTGAAAATTTTGTTGTGGTTTGGAAAATATATCCATTTAAATACATATAGGCTAATATTGTTTACTAACTTTTAAGAGAATTTACAGTTACTCATATTTAGATTGGATATTTTTCCTTCTATCTTATGCTTGGAAACCCTGGCGGCAAAGTAAAGAGTTTGGCTGCTAATGGAAATGTCGGCAGTTTGAATCCACCAAGTGCTCCTTGGAAACCCTATGGGGCAGTTCTACTCTGTCCTGTTAGGGTCGTTATGAGTCGGAATTGACTCAATGGCAACGGGTTTGGTTTGTTTTTGGTAGTTTATACTTCTGAGCCACCTGCTCCCCCGTCAAAAAATGAAAAAAAAAATTTTTTTCTTTTAACTTCTTGTTCGGTATAATTTCAGACTCACAGAAAAGAATTGCAAGAATGGCTTAAAAAATTATGTAATGAGACTAAATAGACACATCAGCTCAGGGTCAGGGACAAGAAGGCAGGAGGGGACAGGAATGCTGGTCACGGGGAACCCAAGGTCAAGAGGGGGAAGTTTTTTATTGTTGTTGTTTAAGTGAAAGTTTATATTTCAAGTCAGTCTCTCATACAAAAATTTATACATACATTGTTATGTGACTCTAATTGCTCTCCCTATACTGGGACAGCACACTCTTCATTTCCACCCTTGATTTCCCGTGTCCATTCAACCAGCTCCTGACCCTCTCTGCCTTCTCGTCTCACCTCCGGACAGAAGCTGCCCATTTAGTCTCATGTATCTACTTGAGCTAAGAAGCACAGTCTTCATGAATGTCATTTTATGTCCCATAGTCCAGTCCAATCTTTGTCTGAAGAGTTGGCCTCGGGAATTGGCCTCAGGAATTGTTTTAGTTCTGGGTTGACAGAGAGTCCCGGGGCCATGCTTTCCGGGGTTCCTCCAGTCTCAGTCAGATCATTAAGTCTGGTCTTTTTACTAGAATTTGAGTTCTGCATCCCACTTTTCTCCTGCTCCATCAGGGACTCTGTGTTGTGTTCCCTGTCAGGGCAGTCATTGTGGTAGCCAGGCACCATCTAGTTCTTCTGGGAAGGGGGAGAGTTTTGACATGTTGTGGGATTAGCAACCAATGTCACAAAACAATATGTGTATTAATTGTTTAATGAAAAAATAATTTGCTCTGTAAACCTTCATCTAAGATACAATAAAAAAAGAAAAAAGAAAAAATTTTCTGTATATCCTTCATTCCCAAATGATAACATTTTACCACATTAGCTTTAACCATCTTTGTTGTATATGTATGTTTTACACATACATGTGTGTATGTTTTTATTTATTACACATGTGTATGTATTTGCACATGAACCATTTGAGAATAAGTTGCAGACATGATGCCTCTTTATCCCTAAATACTTCAGAATGTATTCCTAATAAATAAGGATATTCTCTTACAAAACTACATAAAATTACCAATATCTGAAAACATATATTAATACTATTATCTAATTTATAGATTTATTCAGATTCTATCAAGTGTCCTAATAATGTTTTATGGCAAAAGGAAACCATGAGTCATGCATTGCATTCAACTGTCATTTCTCTTTAATCTCCTTTATTCTGAAACAGTTCCTCAGTCTTTCCTTAGCGAAGTTTTTAGTATTGGTTGTTAACAAAATGTAATTAAGTGAACAAACATCATTCCAAAGCCAATGGATTTGTGCAAATGGTTGCTTCGGATTTGTGATGTTTTTGTAACCTTCCTCTAGCAGGGTTGATTGGGGCCAGTGTGTGTTCACTGTTCTCTTAGAAATCCTCACCTGCACCACAGAACATGAAGGTCTGACCCAAGAACCGGGTGATCCATTTTCTGTTTGTTACTAACCAATTCATCTATTGTCAATGAATAGCTACAAGAATATCCCAAAACCTAAAACATATCTAAATTTGTATTAAAAAAAGAAAAGAATTGAAAAATTATAGAAGAAAAAGTTTTAAAAACGTTCATTTTAATAACCGCATGCTTAGATGCAATTCTTTCAAGTAGTTCAATGTAAATAATTAGAATAGAGGTGTTTGGAATTGGTGAAAGGGTCATTATTCCTGAACCAATGTGCAGCACTGGGTTTATGAGTATAAAAATAAAGACATTTGAATCAATTCTCTTATCTTTCTAGTAACACTTGAATTAGGTTTCAAAAATATTCACATATTGAAAGGTCCACTAAGGACTAAAGCTCATTTTCTTTCAAAGTGCACACTGATGGTTTTAATTTTTTAATCTCTCAGATTGCATCTGTATAGCAGCAGCAAGCAGATACTTCAGCAAGGAATAAATGGTTCCAAAAAGGTATGGGCAAATGTGTCTTATGCATGTCTTTTTTTTTTTTTTTTTTTCTTGAAGGCCTGAGGGAAATATTTCCTGAATTTTTTTCAAATAAGTGTATTCTGTCACGCAGAATAGGAGTTATCTGCCAACATTATTTGCCATCCTGTTACAGCCAAACTTATAACTGATTTTTATACTCTCCCTTCTCTTTCTAGTCATATGAAAGAAAAGGAACATGTTACAGGCCTGAAGACAATATTCCTAAATGGACTGAGCTAGGACATCTAAATCTGTAGCTTGAGCTACAAAACACTTCGTTTCATTCAAGAACCACTTTCTTGAGTCGATTTTTTATACCTGCCTTAAAAATAGGACAGTGCCCCCGAAGTAGGATTAGTAGCAGCAAACCCTTACCCTGTTCTCAGTAATGAAAACAGATTATAAGCCTTTTTTTTTCCACTACAGAGTTATAATACAGCAGCAGGGAGGAAATCATTTGTTCACTTGACTTCAGCTCAAGATTCTACTCAAGTTTGATTGCAAAAGCCCATTCATATGGAAGAAGAGACAAAAGGCCAACAACTCTCTGGGTAGAGTGTCAAAGGCTCAGTGTTTACAAGAGGAAATTGAGGGGAAGATTAGAGAATCAGTTTCTCCTGGGGAATGATGATGGCGTAGGGGTCCTTTGTAGGGGAAAGTCCTTTGCTAGGATTAAAGGCAGGATTATTGGTAGAGAGTTGAGAAATTGAAATGGAGAGCCTCTTAAAATGGCAATTTAGTCGGAATATCCAGGGAGTTCTTGAAACGTGAATTCTAAGGAAATGGCTAGTACTTAAGGAAAAAAGATAAACTCAAACTCAGTGTTTCAAGTGATGAAACTGCACGTGGTCAGGAAGGTGATAGACTTGCCACTGCCTTCAGAGGAAAAACAAGAGACCAGTAACACAGTGACTCCTGTCAGCTTTTAAGAGAAGGCACGAGTTCAAGAAAATTCTAATGAGGAAGACATCAATCTGATCTGCAGATTATGTCATAGCTACATTATGGCTAAAGAACAATAGTAATTAGAAATGAAATTAGTGTTATACTCTTCTTTTTATCGGATTTCAAAAGGTTAGTGTTAGCTTAAGTCATACTTTTAGCCGAACTGTTTATATATAAAAGAAATGTTTGAGCTTGGCTCCTTATAATAAAATCCAATACTTCTAAATTTAAAGTACGTGACAAAAAAAGTTTCATCTGGAAGCAGTCTCTATAATGCATGATTCTGAATTTGATGGCAACAGGTTTTTTTTTTTTTTTTTGTTTCGGTACTCCTTGACTGATTCCATTGGTTTCTCAGTTGCCTACAAAATCAAAATCAAGCTCCTTATCTTTATGTATAAAACAGAGTTTTTTCAGGAAACAGATGAGATTTTAAAGAGAATTACAATTTATTGACAGTATTATTTCTAGAAGGGTGGGCAGAGTTAAGGGAACCAAAATGGGATGCTGAGACGCCCAGGCATTAGCAACAACTAGAAGCCATTACTACCCTTAGGCCTGAAGAGTCAAAGCATGGGGAAAACAGAGTTTCCAAAGCCTTTTGAGAGCTGGAGCCGTGAAAGAGAGGCCGCCCAACAGACGCTCCAGTCCTAGATCTATCCGTTGTTCTCAAACTTGGCTGCACATTGGAGTTTGAAGGATTACTGACGCCTGAGTCCCACTCCTAGAGATTCTAATTTAATGTATCTGGGGAGTAGCCAGGGCATGAAGGTTTCTAATGCTCCACAAATGAGTCGAAGGTGTAGCCAAAGTAGAGAGCCACTGCCAGAACTGAAGAAATACTCCTTCCCTTTGCCACTTGCAGTGTGGTCCTCCGAGCAGCAGTAGCAGCATCCCCTGGGAGCTTGTTAAGTAACGTAGAGAATTAAGGACTTGCTGAATCAGAATTTGCATTGCAAAAGACCCCAGGTAACTTGTGTGCACGAGAAAATTTAGGAGCACTGGCTATGACCGCAACTGAAGGGATCCAGTAAATGTTTTTGAGTCAGTGGGCGTTAAACCATGCAGATTTATGTGTTATACACCTGGTAGCATTTATTATGTGTCAAATATGGTTTAAACACATTAAGTATTTTAAATAACTTAATCATTGCACCAACGCTACAAGGTAGATACTGTTATTATTACTGTTTTATAATTGAAGAAATGGAGGCATAGAAAGGCCACTTGGCCTTTCCCAAGGTCATACAGCTAAGAAGTTGCAGAACCAGAATTTGAAGCCTGGAAGGTGGCCACTAGAATCCTTGCTTTAACTATTTGCTCTAATAAGAAAAGAGTAAGGGAGAAAATAAAGAAGGCAGGCAGGCAGGCAGACAGACAGGCTGTCAAAGAAAAAGAGAGAACTAGAAGCAATACTCTGAAGAGTACAGTAGAGAAGTTGTGGAAGAGAGGTCAAGTTGTCAATACCCAAACAACCAAACAAAAAAGACCAGTTGTCATCAAGTCCACTCCAACTCACGGCGACCCCCTGTGTGTCAGAATAGAACTGTGCTCCACAGGATTTACAAAGGCCAATTTTTCAGGAGTAGATCACCAGGCCTTTCTTCTGAGGCACCTTTGGCTGGACTTGAACCTCCAGTCTTTCAGTTAGCAGCCGAGTATTTGCATCATTCAGGAAATCCAGGTTGTCAGGAGGAACCAAAAATGCCCCATGCTTTCCCTTCCAGAAGAGCTAGACTGTCTGCATGAGGCAGATAATAAATCCGATGCCCGCACTTGAAGTAGATCCACAGATGCTTCAGTTCTTATCTTTTTTGGCAAAATATCCATCCTTCAAATCATTCCACAGGCCAAAGGACAAATGTCAGGTTATACTCTTGAGTAGCCCAGTTCTATTTCTTTCATAAATGCCTGAACAAACACATCTGCTCCACATAGGCCCTATAACATTTCAGAGAGTTGTAGACCTTTTTTTTTAAGAACTGCAATAAAGTAATGTAATAAATGTATTGTTTGAAAATTTTTTACTGTTTTATGTATGATCCCTGAGATTAGATTCGTGTCCCTTTTCTACAAAATTGGACCATTTTCTTTTGTGCCATTTCAAATATATTGCTTTCTATCACTGTAGTTTCATATATATATATATTTTTTTTTTAATTTCAGAGTCAAAAAAAATAAGCCCTATTGGGAAACCAAATGTATGACTCTACATGCCTTCAAAAACACAAACCTGCAGCATTCCCGTGAACTTGCCCCAGGATACTGCATTCCAATTCCGACTGGCTGCTAATTACTTACTCGCAGTCAAATTGCCACTCTGCTCTCCTTTCAGCACTTTGTTGGCCCAATGTCTCTGGCAATAATCTCTCAACACATAAGCACCCTTTCCCGTTCATCACATTAATCAATAAAGCAACGTCCTCACACTGGCCAAGCCCAGAGCCATCTTGTCACACGCGCTAAATAAATGAAACAAACACCAGTTCTGCTTCTACAGCCTCTCACATTAATACACACGAATGGAGATGCTTTTAATATAAAATCCATTCGCTCCAGTGTTTAAAACTGCACACAAATGCACGTTTACAAGACAGGAAGAGGAGTCATTTCCATGATGGGATGATTAGGCCAAGTCCTACTGAGTCAAGAAGTGGGCAGGGTTACATGGCTTCAAATTGGGAAAGAGTTTTCCCTTCCACACTCTCTCAGGCCTGCTTGTTCTCAAGGGGAGTTGTCTCCTTGCCGTCTTCCTGGCTGCGTGAAGCAATCACACCACGACAGGGTCTCCCTCTCTGAGAGGAAGGAGCCGTTCCTTCTACTTCTCAGTCTGCAACGCAATGATAGGTGGCATCTGGGCTGTGCCATTCCTCCATCTCTCTTTGACGGGGGCCTTGCACTAAGGAGATACTGAGCCTCCAGTTACAAAGTCTGGATCCAGTTTGTCCTCCCCTAGCTATTCTCATAGGTTATAAAACCAGAGAAGAGAAGGGTTAGTCTTAGCCTTTGGCTCTCCCAAATGTCTAAATTCTGTGATTGCCTTAAGAAAAAGGGTCATGTTTTTCCTCTTTTATCTCCCGAGTCTAACGGATCTTGGCACGTACTAGGCATGCACCGCCGCCACCACCACCAGTTGCCGTCGAGTGGATTCCAACTGATGGTGACCCCATGTGTGTCAGAGTAGAACTGTGCTCCACACGATTTTTAGTGGCTTGTTTTTTTGAAGAAGTAGATCACCATGCCTTTCTTCTAAGGCCCATCTGGGTGGACTTGAACCGCCTGTCTTTTGATGAGCTGTTGAACGCTTAACCATTTGCACCAGTCAGGGACCCCTCTAGAGGTAAAACTGAATAAAGGACTGCTTTGGGTAGCATTAAAAAAAAATCACTTTTTATGGAAGTTAGTGTTTATTAAGCACTTAAAAAGTGCCAGGCATTGTTCTAGTAAGTAACTTATTTAATCCTTACATTTTACAGACAAAAAAAATTAAGGCTCAGAAAGGGTAAGTCGGTTGTCCAGAGTCACAACAGGAGAGAGAACCAAGATTTCAACCCCGCCAGTCTGAATCATGAGCTTGTGCTTTTCAAACCTTAACAGCACTACTGTTCTCCTCTCAAGCTTGATCTGACACATCACCATCTTCCTGTTATGTGCTTCTGTGGTTTATCATATCATGGCAAACACTAGCCCAAGAAAAGTAGCAAAATGATAATAATTCCCATTGGAAGACACTGTTAATATGTTCAGCAAATATTAACCCCAATAACTGTGAGTACATTCTGCATGAGAATCCTTTGCTGAAGGCTATTGAGGATGTGAAGCAAATGCTAAGATACAATCTCTGACCTTATTCGGGCCACATAAAGTTCTCAAAAACATGAAACTATTCTGACTGTACAGAATATGATTTTACCTAATAAGCTTCCCTTCTGCTGAATATGACTTAAAAAAGCAGTGCAACTAGACAGGAAAATGTTAATATTGGAATGGTATCTATGTTGGAATATAATGTGTTCATCCCTTTTTGGAAAAGTCTGTTATTTCCATTTCAAGTTCTAGAAGTTTCAAGGTCTGTTTTTATTTATTTATTTTTTGTGGGGGGTTTGCTTGGGGTGAATAAAGTCTCATGACCAGGTGGCCATGACATTAATGTTTTAAGTGTAAAACAGCTATCCCCAAGTTCCCTGAGATTCAGAAACCAGAAACCATGTTTTGTTTTATTTTGATTTTTTTAATCACTCTGCCACCATTCTACCTTCTGTAAAAAGTCTCGTCCCTCCACCATACTTCTGTAGGTCCCCAAAGGGCTTCCTGTAGCCAAATTCCTACTCCTTCTCAGCTCACCCTCCTGGTCACTCACTTCCAGGTCAGGTCTGCCAGAGCTCCTCTTCCTTCATTACCCAAAGCACCATTAGCTAATGGCTGTTGTGTAAAACTGACTTTTATTGAAGACTTAACATTACACCAGAGATAAAGAAACAACTTCAAACTGAATAATTTACATCATAAATATATTCAGTCATTTCTACCATAAGGAATCTCTTATCAACCTTCTTCCTCCCATAGGTCCTGACCTTCGGCCATATTATCAGGGCCCACCCTTCCTACTAAGTCCCCTTTACTCCATCTCTCTTCTTGACTGGATGTTGCTCAAGACATAAAATAACTCCTTCTTGAGCTTCTAGGAGACAGTTGCCAAATTCTTGATACTTTGATACTTGATTATGTTAAAAAAAAACAAAAACAAAAACAAACCCATTGCCACTGAGTCAATTCCAACTCATAGTGGCCCTATAGAATAGAGTAGAACTGCCCCATAGGGTTTCCAAGGAGCTGTTGCTGGATTCGAACTGCCGACCTTTTGGATAGCAGCCAGGCTTTTAACCACTGTACCACCAAGTCTCCCTTGATTATATAGAGTAAATAAAGCCCTCTCCTGAATATCTCGGTAAGTTAGGGGGTTCACTCACTTTTCATAA